GAAGGGAAAAAAAGGGAAAGGAAAAAAATATGGGAAGAGGAATAAAATGGAAACAAGGTCTTTGCAAATAGGGAAGGGTGGAGGGGATGAAGGGAGGGCAAGGGAAGGGGAAAAAAAATAAGAACCAAGAGACTCATGTAAAGGTACAAGATCCCAATGATGAATGTGACTGTATTTTATACCTAAAATGTACCAATAAAGTTAATAGGGAAAAAAAAAAAGGCCTCTATTGCTCTAACTCAGACTTACTGAGTCAGGCCAGGCCTTTGTTAAGCCATCACAAAAAGTAAAAAAACATATCCAAGGACAATCTGAATGTCCTCTTGTGTCTTCCCCCTTGCAACATGAGCTCCTCAACTTAAAATGCTTATCCTAATTCCTCTTTCTATCTGCAGTCATAAAATAACCTGGCAAGTAGCATTACTGTCTAGATAGAATGGTAGGAAGGTGATCCAAACTATACAAAAAGCTGGGAGTGCACTCCGTGGTAGAGCACCTTCCCGGGATGCACAGGCCCTGAGTTCTTTCCCCACTGTCACAAAAAAATACCCACAGAAAATTGGAATCATAACTGAATACTTATGAATTTGTAAATGTTTTATAATTGTGACTTTTATAATTTATATTTCTCAAGTCAGCACTATTGACATTTTGGGCCAGATAAGTTTTTGTTGTGGGATGCTCTATTTACTGTAAAATACTTAGCAGCCTTCCTGGCCTTTACCCATTAGAGAGGCCAATAGCACCCACGAAAGTTGTGGCAATCAAAAATGTCTACAGATATTGTCAGTTCTCTCCAGGCAGCAAAATTACCCTTGATTTGTAACCACTAGTGTAGATACAGTTCTTACAGTTAATCAGCTCAAATTCTTCATTTCCATTGTTCGTTTTTTTGTTGTTGTTTTGTTTTTTTATGGGGGAATGAACCCAGAATCTTTGCACTGAGCTACATCCCCACTCTTTTTTCTATTACTGTTTTTGAGACAGTGTCTCACTTAGTCACTAAGTTGCCCAAGCTGGGCTCAACCTGCAATCTTTCTGCCTCAGCCTCCCAGAATGCTGGAATTACACTCAGGCACCATGGTGTCCAGCTTTCAACTCAGATTCTTAGTATACTCAGTGTAAATCAATGCATTTGTAAATAAAGATAAAAGAAAAGTAAATTGGGACAAAAATGGTATTCTGTACAATCAGCCTGAGGGAGGAGGAAAAGGTTATTTTTATTGATCAGTTTTCTAGGCTGTGACTACATATTCTAATAAAACTATTAGCTTCCACTGTTGTGAAGAAATCGTAAGTGAGAAATTACCTAACTGCAGCAAGTAACCAGGATTAGAACAGCCAGTGAGAGCTACAGAGCTGTGCACTTTAACAGACTTTTGTCTTAGGAACATATACAAAGATTCAACTCTGCCTCCAACCATCACCTGTATATATTCAATTGTATTAATTTTGCACAAAATGATGTTAAGTATTTGATAATAATAGTTAATGTTTACTATCTAAACTGTCAGCAGAAGCTCTCCAGTTGGATCTAAAGAACATATAACTACCAACACTTCCCCCAGCCAACATGTTCTTTACCAGTCATCTTTCTGTCCTGGTGTTAGTCAAGCCAAAAACCCAACAGTTGATTCTTTTTGAGATATGTCACATACCATAAAATTCACATGTACAGTTCAGTGGTTTTTAGTATATTCTCACAGTTGTGCAAACATGACCACTGTCTACTTCCAGAATATTGTCATCGACTTCAAAAAAGCACCCAGTA